CGTTCCCCTTCCATCCACCACCCCGCCTGGTAGGGGCGGTCCTACCTCACTCGGAAGTGTTTCCACCTGCTGGGGTGAGACTCGGTTCTTGAGGCGCCTCATTTTTTAGGCGATTGTCGAGGCGCCTCAGAAGGCAACTTTCGAGGCACCTCAAAAAATGGACCTACCTCACTCGGAAGTGTTTCCACCTGCTGAGGGGAAGACTCGACGAGCAAGTGCTGGTGGTGGTGCTGGCAGAAAGAGAAGTCCCAGAAACTCTATCCGTTCCCCTACCATCCACCACCCCACCAGGTGGGGGCAGGCCTACCTCACCCGCTAGTACTTCCGTTTGCAGGGGAAGAGACTCGATGATGCTGGCAGCAGCAGAGGATGGAACATGACCCTTCCCATTCCTATTGCATCCCTTTCCTCATCAGTCTTCTTTCCCCACCACACCACATCAAGTGGGGGGGGCAGACGTACCTGACTTGAGAGCTCGTTTACCTGTTGGGGGAGCGCCAGGGCGAGCACGTGCTGCTGGTGGTGGCAGAGTAAGGCACAGCCCGCATGGTGGGGGGTGGCTCACCCAGTTTCCACTGCCTCTCATTCCCACGCCCTGTTCCCCGTCCCACCACACTACACCACCCCTCACAACAGGTGGGGACAGACCTACCTCACACGTGAGTTCTTTCACCTGCTGGGAGAGCGTGTGGGAGAGAAGGTGCTACTGGTGGGGGGGGAGGGTGAGTCAGATGAGGCAATGGTGGTTCCTCTTCCCAATGCTACTGCCTTCCTTCCCTCTTGCCTTAACAGGTGGGGGCAGATGTATTTGACTCGCGAGTTCTTTCACCTGCTGGGGGAGCACGTGGGAGAGAAGGTGCTGCAGGTGGTGGCGGAGGATGAGACAGGGCGCATGGTGGGGGGCGCGCTGAATCTGGTGGGGGGGGAGGTGGTGTTTGGGTGCAACTCGGGGGCGCTGCCTGGGACACATTACCCGTTCTTGCACTTTGAAGCGTGTTACTACCACGTGTGTGTCTCTGTTAGGTGTTTGGTGGTGTGTGGTGTGTGCACTATTAGCTGGTGTGTGGTGCTTGCTGGATGGGAATTAAAGTAAAATTGGCCTTCCAATACAGAAGTAGGTAGTTGTGGCTTCAAAGTCTAATTGGGTCTAATGTTCTTTGCTAGATGGAAATCAAAGTAAATGGATCTGCCAATGCAATTAACCGAAACACTCAACCGGGTGAGGTCAGGGTTTTCTGTGCAACATTCAACCCACGAATGCACTGCACACGTGCACTCCAAACCAACCTCATCCTTTCCCCATTTACCACCTGCCTTCGTGACCCCCATCCCCCCTTCGCTCAGGCAATAGAGGCGGCCATAGAAGCAGGATAAGCACGGGTGGAGGCGGGGGCGCAAGGCGAGCACAAGCTGCCGCGGGGCTATCTGACCACCGCCACCTACAGCACTCTCACCATGCCTTCCGCCCTTCCCTCCTTATTCCCTATCCCATTCGATCATGTTTCCTTCGTTCCCCCTTTCCTCCCCACTTCGTTTTTCCGTTCCCCCCTGCCTTCTATCCCTCCTTCTCTCCTGTCCCCCCCTCCCCCCTTCCCTCTACCCCATTCCTTCCCCTTTCAGGCAATAGAGGCGGCCATAGAAGCAGGGTTAGCACGGGTGGAGGCGGGGGCGCATGGCGAGCACAAGCTGCCATGGGGTTATCTCCCCACCGCCACCTACAGCGCCCACCACATCCCTGACCCAGCCTTCCGCTCCGCGATTGTGGGGTTTCTTGAACGGGAGACTGTACAGGTGAGCTTGAACTGCCCTCACGTTTGGATCTGAGATTTATTGTCAATATAGGCGCGGGGCGGGGTTATCTCCCCACCGCCACCTACAGCGCCCACCACATCCCCCACCCGGCATTCCGCTCCGCCATCGCTGGATTGCTTGAGCGTGATGAGAATTTCTTCCGCACCTGTACAGGTGAGCTTAAATTGTTGCTGAGAGAGCAGCTTATTCTCAGCACGCAGCTTCTATGCTGCGATTGCGAGGCTATCTGCCCACCACCCTGCATTCCTCTCTGCTATCACGGGGTTCCTTGAGCGCGAGACTGTATAGGTATGCCTGAGTTTGCCTCTTAAAAGCTATCTGCATCATTCTTAGAAGCAGCTCCAAAGTTGCCATTGGGAGGTTATCTGCCCACCGCCACCTACAGGTGGGTTTCTTACCATATCCTCAACCTGGCATTTCGTTCTGCCTTGGCGGGGTTTTCAAACAGGAGAATGTATAGGCGGGCTTGGAGGAAGTTGTTTGCTTCGCCCATTTTCTCTCCGTTTTTTAAGTCTCAACTAACCCCTGTTGGTCTGAACTCTGGTTTCATCTTCTCAAGAAGGCTCAACTCTTGAATGAAGCATTCATTACACAATCCTTTGTGACAAGTGCAAACCCTTTCAAAAAACATCTTAACCACGTTCAACCCATGGGATCCCATAGCCTCTCCCATTCATCCTCTAGGCCATTCACTTCCTTTGCCGTTCTTCTTTGTACGAGGTTCAACTCTTGCAACGACCATCCCACCGACACAATCCCATGTGGCAGGTGCAATACGCTCTTTCTGTTATGGACCAAGAGGCAAACCCTTTCAAGAAGCAGCCAACCACAGATGCCTCATAATGTTCATACGTAATATATTGTGTTAAATATAACCTTGATAGTTTGTACCGTAACACAAACCGAAAGCGTTTTGATAGATTGGCTGTGCAAGCATTCAGTCAGACCCAACAGCACTAAGGGTACATTCCTGTGTCGACATTTGTGTCTCAGTGCCCCCTTTCCCGAGTCGCGCCTGTAAATTTGCCCCATCTGGCGTCACAAACAGCTGATGTACCGAGACGTTGTGCGACTGATTGAGAGGTACAGTTGGCCGATTTTTTTTGGCTCGTACCTTGTGGCTCAAGCCTGTATGTTTTGGCCACGGGCAGTGCTGGAAAAACGACGCGCGTGAAACAAACACACCAAAGCGGGTCACAATAACGAAGCATGCAACTTCAGCGCACCGTGTTTGCGAGGATCAACACACACACAAGTGCAACGCTGAGGCACATGTACAAATACGCACAGCAATCATAGCACACACACACAGCTACTCTAGAAGCTGCTGCAATCATGGTAGAGCCACGCGCTGTGTCTTTCCTCATGCGTCTCCTAGTCGCATGGATCACGTTCTACTACACTATTTTTATGGACGTGGTCGCCAGGGCGGTTGGCGGCCTGCTGGAAGCTGATGTCTTCTTCGATGAGGCATCCACGGCGTCAAGCTCACACAGCTCCGACAGGACGGCCGAGCGGACTAGACGGGCAAGCCTGCGCCGGCGCAGATACAAGCTGTTGCTCGAGGACCTGCATGGGATGGGAGACACTGAGTTCAGAGATCTCTTCCGCATAAACCGTGACATTCTCGAGTGCATTGTTAACGGCATGGGGTACTACATGGGTGCCCAGGGCTCTCGTTATCAGAGTAAAATACCATTTTTGCCCTTTATGGCAACCACCTTTTTTCAGTTACCCTTTTCTAAGAAGGGTAATGGTAATTTTACCCTAGGCCAGAAAGTGTAAGTTTTTTTGTACCCTTTGAAAAACAGCGTAAGGAACTTATTTCTCTGACTGTAGAAGGTACGATCACAGTAACACTGATACCGAATGCTCCGTAGCGAGGCGAAACGTTATGCGGGCCCCTAAAAGACTCCCAACAACGTGAATCGACCACGGGCCCTTCTACGTATAACACGAAATCTTACCAAGTGAGCCAGTAAGTGTTAAGTTGGGCTCACTTTGGAAATTGCTTAGAAGGGTAACTAAAAAAATCTATGAAGTTTTTTTACCCTGAATTTGTCAGGGAAAAAAAAATGCCCTACGCATCAGGGTTGACTATACCTAGAACCCTGATTACTAAGGGTGGCCCAAAACGAATTTGAAGCTTTGATGGTGCCGTACGTAGAGAGATACTTCATCACACACGAGGTCACGAACTTGGTATCCATAAAATACCTTGCTAGCGGAATGTCGTATGTGGACCTTGCTCACCTTTTCGCCTGTCGAAGACCCTGTGTCATGCTCTCGTGGATGTGGGGTTGATGCATTTCACATCCGTCTTTAAGCAGCAGTGGGTCCACTTCCCGACCCGTAATGACCTTGACAAGATGGCCGAAGAATTTTGCGCCATCAAGGGTGTACCTGCTGTGGTGGGGGATATCGATGGGACGCACATACACATGAAAGGCATGGAGGGGCAGAGACAGGAATACTACACCAGGAAGTCAGCATACGCCGTGCAATTGCAGATGACATGTGATGCGCGCTGCATCATTTAGGACTTCTTGATCGGATACCCCGGGAGTGCACACGATCAACGGGTGTTCATGAACAGTGCCTTACACGAAAGGTTGCACAACAGCGACATAGCGCCTTATCAAATCGTGGGAGATGCTGACTACCCACTCAGAGATTTCTGCCTGACCCCACTACATGCACCCCGTGAGGGCCTAATGGAAGACTGGGGGCAGTGCTTCAACTACTGCCAGAGCGCAACGCGCATGGCGGTAGAACACTGCATCGGCCCTTCAAAGGTTGATGGCGTCTATTCGCGGGCCGCAACGACTGCAAGCTGTGGCGGGTGCTTGCGCGTGCATCTTGCTGCGTCATCCTGCACAACATGTGCGAAACAATGGGGCAGGTGAGGCGTGTAAACATGGTGCGGGCTACCTTGCCCCGGAACCGGGACCTATGGTGGACGCATGGCACGGTCGCCGATTTCAAGTGGGGGTCGTGTGTCCCTTTCACACAAGCAACGCTGAAGGAGAGGCGCAAGCGGCTGGGCGAGGCACTAGATGCGTCGTACCTTACTCGGCGTCGTCGCGAACCCACACCTCCTCATCCGCATCCGGGTTAGCAGCGCCGTCGGCGGACTCCCCGCGACCGAACCATTCGTCGTCGCCGCCTTCGGCGGCGTTGGTAGCGGGCTAGGTGTCAGCATCTGCGGGGACGTGGATGCGCGTCTGTGCAGCTGACGTGGTCTCCTGCAGTCGTTCGCGCGCAATCCGCTCGTCTTGCTGCGTCCAGGCGCGGACGAGCCCTTCAAGCTTGTTCATTGCATCCGCGTGGCATCCCTTGATGGTCTTGCAGACGAGCTTGGCGGCGACCATGGTGGCCGTCTCCGCAACCCGCGGGCGCTTGGAAGGAGGAGCACACCACGGAGGGGGGGCTGGACTGGCAACTATATGGGGGATTGTGGATTCTGCGTTGTATGCTTGTTAACGAAACCTTTGTAAAACGGCTCAAGCACAAAACATAACAAACATATGAAATGCTGAAAACATAAACAGACAACTCACCCGAGAAAGTTGGCGTAGACGTGTACGGTGCGGAAGTAGACGAAACCGCGAAACCCCACGATACATTCACATGTGTCGTGCCTTCGCCGTCCACGGCATGCGGGTTGGCGACGACACGATTGTTCTGGAAGAGCTCCATGTACGGGAACAATGGTGGCTTGCACAGCGCACCCTTGCTGGACGCCTTCTCCCCTTTCTTGAGCTGCTTGTAGATGCAAACAAGATTGCGCCACTGCTTCTGCACCGCGTTGACGTCGCGCACCCACCCTAGGTTCTCCTTCTCGATGTGACTGATGAGGCGAGCCAAATACTGGGAGCCTTGCTTCCCGAGGAGTGGCTCGAGCTCGTCCTTCATGAACAAGCACGCGGCCACAAAGGTGGTGTTATCCAGGTTCGACCAGACGCTACGCTTCTTAGGGATGTGGTTGCGGGTTTTCGGAGCGGGGCGTGCTTGTTCGCCACCCTTGGCGGCGGTCTTGACGGCGGAAGCAGGCTTTGCACGGCCGCGGCGAGTTGTCGGAGCATCGGGCTGGGTTTTTTCAGGTGCCTCCTCGTCGGCGTCAGCGGCGTCATCACCATCAGCGTCGTCATCAGAGTCGGACATTCCCTTGTCTTCCTCTTCCCCCGAGTCCGCCTCATCGTCGCTGCCCTCGGCGTACGCGTTGTAGTCGTTGTCGTCAGCGTCATCACCATACGCGCTGTCGTCGACGACACGTGAAGATGCGACCCTGTCTACGTCACGGCGCCCGCGCGTCGGGACGTCACGCGGGGCTTGATACGAGGTGGCTCCCGGGGAAGGGATTCCCTCAGGCAGCGGGCCAGCGGGTTTGCGTCCCGCGGCAAGTTGCTTGTTAATCCACGCGATGTACGGGATCTCGTTGAGATTCCGCGGGCACTCGGTCGTTGTGTCTGCAGCTGTCTTGCGCTTACGAGCCATGGCTACGGAAGGGTGAAGTCCTTGGAAACGGGAGAGAAAAACAGAGAATAGATATTGCTAAGAGGAGATGAAGAGATTGTGGAGGAAGGGATGACAGGAATGTGGTTCGGGATGGTGGGTGGGGTTTGCGGGCAGGGTTGCGCGATGGTGGGGAAAGGATACCAGTCGTTTGGTTGCCTGGGCAGAGCGGTTTTTCTTCCCGCTCAAATCTGTCACCTGTTCGGGCGTCCAGATGCATGTAGTCGGGCCGGCCAAATGCGTGACATTTCGACACGAGTGCGATTATTTTGGATGTGACGGGGCCACGTTCAACTCGTCCGCGACACTTTCGCATCACACGCAGACCAATGTAAAATACAAGAAAATCGCGCGAGGGCGACACGCGTTTGCGTCACGCGTTTGCGACACGCGTACGTTATATGTTGTTTTTACGTGTCACAAACGCATTGAGACACAAATGTCGATACAGGAATGTGCCGTGATCACCCAGACATATCACCCGCCGAAATTGAAGACCCCCCGGGTGGCTTGTGCGGGGTGGGTGCTATAGCGGACCTCGTTTCTACTATACCCCCCTTTTGGGGTGATAACACCCCCCTTTCTTACTAAGTTTCTAATTATAGCTGTTAGCGAGTACTGCAGAACGTCGCGGAAATCACTTCCTCGATGAAACTACATGGTAATTTCGAAAGAATCTGCCGAAATCACCCCCCTCCCTCTTTTACGCTGCTGCCACGCTAGTAGATAGTTTGCTAACAAGTGGCCAAAAAGGTGCCACCTGGCAATTTCAAGGGGGGTGAAAAGGTTCTCGCCAAAACCCTCATTCTCGCTTCTAGCTGTGATATTAAACCAATTCTGAAAACACCCAAGTTGTCTTTGCATCAAAATCCTTACACTAAAAAATACCGTATGAAAAGACCCGGGTGTTATGTAGCTTTTTCCCATGACAAGACCCCCCCCCCCCCTTTTTTTGCTGTAGTTATCATAGCACCCTAGGGTGGTATGTCCGGGTGATTACGGTACCCTAAGGCATTTTAACAATCCTGTACGTACCAGCAAGTTTGACCCATGGTACTTTTTCTATCAAACATGCTGTACTACGATACCGGTACCGTCATCGCCCTGATATAAGACATATGGGTCTTATCCGATATCGGTTAAAAAACTGGCGATTTATATTGTAAAAGGAAGGTAATGGGTATCTTATAAATCTTATAAACGGGAAACTTGCTAAGATAAACAATTTCTCACATACCACTGTATAAACTCCCACGAACCAGTCTTCCACACAGAAACCAATGCTGGGACGACTCCGGCATTTCTGGATACGCTACATCACGAGAAAAATCTGCTGACGCAGCATGTGACTCAGATACACCATCATCTGAGTCATCGTGTGAATGAATTCACGCGCGCTCAGGCAAAAACGTACGCGATATGACCTGATTCAACATGAAGTTTTTATATTTCGTTTATAAGACATACATGTCTTATCCCATATCGGTAATGTGGTCTCCTATAAAAGGAACTTCCATTTATAAGAAAACACCCGTATTAAAGACACCCATGTCTTCAATTCAACACTATCTTCTATCCGGGTGATGACGGTATCTCTTTCTAATCAAGAAACGACTTCCATTATCCCTCTAGCTATCAAAAATTTTAAACTACCATATACTCTTCTACCTGACTCCCTCATGATCACTTGCCGGTACCGTATTGTCATATCTGCACTGCACTGCACCAACGAATGCTAGAGAGGTTGTAGTAGCTAGCAGTACTCGCTCTCACCTTCCACAGGCTCACTCTGTATGCTAGTTCAACATACACCGTAAGCCTCATCTTCATCAGCACTATACTCTTGAGTGACTATTGAGTCGACTCAAAAGTCACCTCGTCCAATATGTCCTCCACATCCTCCCTTTGTACTTAAACATATACGACTCATCCTCATCAACACTGTACCCATCAACCAGCTCCCTATTCACACTGTGCATCTTCTCCCGCAAGTTCTTCGGCCGCCTTTCCGCAAAGCAAGCGCGTGGCACCCCGCTTCTCGACTTCCTCACATGCACCACAGGGGTCTCAGGCAACTGCTTCCTCTGCCTTTCCCAGTAGAACGAGCGGCGTGAGATGCAGTACAGGGCGAGAGAGGGACAGAATTCGCGGAGGGAAGTGAGGGTTTGCTGCTCGCATGTGCAGGTGGGGAAGAAGATTGCTCGCAGGTTTGGAGCCAAAATAAACGGAGGTCTTACTTCTTGCTGTTGCTTCTTCTGCTCCTCCTCTTCCTCCTCCTCCTGCTGCCGCTGCTGCTGCAAAAGCTGCTGTTGCTGCCGTAAAAGCTGCCGCTCCTGGCGCTGCTGCTGCTGCTGCAGCCGTAAAAGCTGCTGCTGCTGCATCCGTTGCTGCACCAGCTGCCTCTGCTGCTGCTGCTGCTGCTGCTGCTGCTGCTGCCACTGCTGTGGCTGCCGCTGCTGCTGCCGCTGCCGCTGCCGCTGCTGCTGCTGCTGCTGGTGCTGCTGCGGCGGCTGCTGCTGCTGCTGCTGCTGCTGCTGCTGCTGCTGCCGTAGCCACTGCTGCCCCTCCTGCAAATCCTGCTGCTGCGAAAGAAGTTGCTGCTGCCTCTGCCGCAGCAAAAGCCGCTGCTTCTGCCACTGCTCCTGCAAAAGCTTCCCATCACGCTCCTGAATTTCCTCCACTGTAACCTCCCTCTCACCATCATCCCGACGCTTCTCAGCCTTCAAATCCACCTCAAACCGCTCCTCTCTCTCCACGACAATCCCAAGGCTGCGCAGGCTGCTCCACTCCGCATTAACCCCCTCTGCAGGCACCCCATGCCTCACTATAAGCACCTCCACTGTTGGCGCTATAGTGCGCAGCCATTCAACCCAGGAAAACTCAGGAGAGCTGCGGCGGTCTGAGCCCTGCCTGTCAGGGGAACGTTCAGGTGAAATTTCAGGGGACAATACAGGGGAGTCCAGGAAGGAAGAGGAGTCGTCACCGCGTGAGTGCAGGTCTTTGGGAGGGCCGTTGAGATAGGCCACTCGTGCGGAGGCGAGGTGGAGGGAGGAGATGACAAGCCGCTGCTGACCGTACAGTGACAGCTGGTGGAGAGCGAGAGGGTCGGTGCTCGTGCACGAGAGCACGAGGTGATGACCCATCGCCGAGAAGGTCTTGAGCGCGGGAGAGAGGGTGAGAACTCCGTGAGTTGCGGTGTGAGCGTGCCTAGATATTCAACATCCACGTATTCCCAGTCCACGTGCTTGAGAGTCAAACTGCGCAGCGACTCGAACCCCACAGTCACGAGGTCCCACTTGCCCCGACCCAGCTTCACCCGCTGCAGATTCGGGCACTTTAAGCCCCAGCCCCAGACATTCTCCTCCACTTCGTCCTCATCCTCCTCCCTCACGTCGTCAAACATGTAGGATTTGTCCACACAGCCGCGCAGCTTGAGACTGAGCGAGGTGAGGGCGGGGAATGACTTGGTACGCGGCGAGCACAGGGAGTTGATCTGCTTGATGTGCGTGAAAGTGAGCGCGAGGGACCTGAGGCGGGGGCGCCAGCGCAGGAAGTATTCGATGCTCTTGATCCACTGCGGGTGTAGTTCGTTGTATACCAGCGCGATGGGGTGGTGGGCCTGCAGTGCAGAGAGGGACGGGATAGGAGGAGAGAACGTGAAGGCTGGTTGGCTGGAAGGAATGTGATGTGAATGGAGCTGTCAGATTGGCTGCTCGTGCCTCAAGCAGAGAACTCGCAACAAGGCTTTATAAACACACGCCAGATGTAAAGCGTAAGCGCAAAGCAGGCCAGTACCCACGAAAAAGGAGAGACCTAGGGGTCTGTTTTTGAGGAGTCTTACGCCAAGCAGAGCAGAGCATGACTCACGGAAAAGGAGAGCACGTGGGAGAGGAGCCTCTTGCTGGCCATGGCGCAGCACAGCAGTGCCCACCCACTGCCATAGCTCCTCGCGTTCTTCCAGTGCTGCCCGGCTGGCGTGAAATAAGGGTCCGCAAATTTCACGGGCAGGTTTCTTCCCAGTGGAAGCTGCGTTTCAGCGGCGAGATACCAGGGAGTCCTTCGTCTGCCCCGGACGAGAGGACTCTCGGGATGGGAGGTGCCCGGTGGAAGCAGCAGGTAGCGGAAGACTTTGTGCCAGATTTTCTCGGGCAGCATGTCTATGGAATCACTGGGGGTGGCGGCTGGAAGGGTGATATGGGATGAGATGGGTGGGAAGGAGAGTAATGGGGTGGAGAGAAAGGAGAATGACTTGGAATTGAGTTGTTTCGAACATTCTTTGAGTTTATTTGTTGTTCGTTTCTCTCCATGGCTCTGATTTCAAGCCTTGTAAGCCGGTCCGGGACAAGGAGAGCACTCGCGAAGAGCTTTGGGGTGGAGCTGTTTTTCTTAAGGCGCTTTGAAAATGAAGTTTTTTTCCTCTGAGTTCTCTATCAGGGCATCCCCTTGCAAGCACGAGAAGTGCTCCTTTTGAACACTTTTCGAAACGCCCACCTCAACAACAGTAAAAAGACTCCATGGTGCAAGTGAGAATGACGTAGTGGACAGGCAAGTTTTTACCCCATGATGTTATTTTCTGAAACTCTTTCCAGTTTGAGTGACGGTGAGGAGGAGAGAGAGGAAACGACGTAAAAAGTGGTGAAGGGTGAAGTGGATATAAGTTAAACGGGATTGGCAGCAGGGACAGGAATCACACGAGGAGGGTAATCACTGAATGAGGTGCTAGCTAGTTGTTTCGTAGTGCGCGTATAGCTCGCGAAGAAGCAAAAGCAGGGGGGAAGGAATACCTGGAAGAGTTGCCTGAACTTTCGATAAGAATACTTTTTTTTTTTTTGTCCAAAAAACATCTAGCAGGAATGTGAAGCTAGGTGCTTCTCGTTCGGAGTGCGACGATGAGGTGACAAGTGGGACGCTGCATCGCGACACAAGACCAGTCCTCGCCTTTTGGGTCAGCATTGTTCTTCTGTCTCTTCTTCTCCCGGTGTCGCTCGCGCTCCCTCGGTTCGCCAGGTGGTTGCACAGATGCCATGGAGATTGAATCGTCTTAAGCTCCCAATCCGCCAGTGGTAGATATACGCTATGTAGTCAACACAAGAATCATGCATTTGCGCTCGCCATGGACTCGAGCGCACTTGTCGCCGTTTCAGTCTTTATTATTCTAAATGGCTATCACCCATCATTGTTCCAACTTACAGAATGCGCAACGCTCAGAGCGGGTCATGTGCGTTGGTTCACAGTTGACTTCGAAAGCGTCATTTTGGTACGGTACGCAATGGTCTGAAACGGTGAAAACCACGGACCGTTTTGAACCGTGTCAAACAAACCCGAAACGATGAATATGACTCACCCTCATAACTCTGAGGCCAAGAGCTCGCTTTTCTGAACCCAAAATTCCGCGAAAATACTCGACGGCAATGGCTCCAACAAGCACCAGACTTGTTCTTGTTACAGTACCAGCATAATATACCCCAACAAGTTTAGTTTCCCCGTATCATAGTCTTTTACCGCTAGAAGCTTTTTCTGCCTTAACAGCCTTCTCAACCGGTGGAGTCAAAACGCTCTGGTGCTCCTGCAGCAGCGTCTCTGCCCTCTGCTCCGCCCCAATTTTGATCAGCGCCCTGTGCACCTGCATCACCATGCCCTCGTCCAGGTTCACTCCCAGCTCTATCATGCTGCCATACACCTGATGGCACACATAGAGACAGAGACAAGGGGAGGAAAATGGGGTCATGAGTGGCAATTAGAGCCTGTGCACCTGCATCACCATGCCCTCGTCCAGGTTCACTCCCAGCTCTACGACACGCCCATAACTCACACAGATCCACACACACACTGGGAAGGAATATGCCGCCACCCTTCTCACCCCCCTGCTGGCCTCTACCTATTTTCAGCGCCACTTATGATGCCGTACAAAACTGCATGGAACCGCACAGAACCGTAGAGGCCCATCATGCGTGCAAATGTGGCGCACATGCTTAAATGTGCATGACCGCACAAAACCGGACAGAACCGTACCTCGAGAACTTTCAGTGGCCGTCCCTGCTGCGTGTAGAGGCTCATCACACGTGCAAACGTGGCACGAGGCACGGTGTCCAGATGGCGGCCCATGATTCGCTCCCACGTGCCGTCCAGCTCAGCATGACGCCCCGTGGCAGCCATGGCCTCCATCATGAGATCGTATGTGCCAAAGGTGCGGCCCTGCCCTCTTGCCAGCATCCACTTGCACACCTGGGTTTTGGGTATGGGGTTGTGGGTGGGTGGGAGGTGTGGGTGACAGGTGCAAGGCTGCAAGGTAAGAATGCCGCCCCGTGGCAGCCATGGTCTCCACCATGAGGTCGTATGTGCCGAATGTTCCGCCTTGTCCCCTTGCAAACATCCACTTGCACACCTGGGTTTAGGGTTCGGGGTTTATGGGGAAGAGGGAGATGGACCCAGCTCAGCATGGCGCCCCGTGGCAGCCATGGCCTCCATCATTAGGTCATATGTGCCAAGGGTCCGCCCCTGTCTTTTGCCAGCATCCACTTGCACACCTGGGTTGAGGTTACGGTTGAAGTTTGGGGTTTATGGAAAAGGGAGAAACAGTTTCACGCCGTGGCAGCCAGGCCTCCATCATCAAGTCTTGCGTGCCGAATGTTCGGCCCTGCCTGCGAGCCAGAATCCACTTGCAAACCTGGCGGGGGAATGATCGTATGGGGGAGAGAGGTCTGCATGTGTGGCGGCCGTGGCAGCCATATAACCTCCATCATGAGATCGTGGGTCCTGCATGTTCGGTCCTGGCCCCTTGCCCACATCCACTTGCCCACTGCTGTGGGGGAGGAGTCAGAAAGCGAGATCGCAGCTCACATATCGCCGTCCCCTTCCCCTACCTGCAGCTCTACCCCCCTCATCTGCAGTATTCTCTTCCACTGGCCGTCCTGCTGCATCATCCTGAGAGCGCGTTTCACGGCCAGCAGGGGGAAGTCGAGCTGGAAGGCAGCCCATGCGTCCAGAGCCATTCCATGCATTCCTGTTCAGAATAATTATTCTACACAGTATTCATCTGTGCTACTCTCTCCTCCTCACCTGCAGTATTCGCTTCCACTGGCCCTCTTGGTGCATTATTCTCAGCGCGCGTTTCACGGCCAGCAGGGGGACGTCGAGCTGGAAGGCAGCCCACGCGTTGAGAGTCCATTGTCTCACCCTCCTCACAGTGGTGTTGCCATAGCATCTCTTGTGCTATTCTTTCCTATTCACCTGTAGCCTTTCTTCTTTCTCACCTGCAGTATTCTCTTCCACTGGCCGTCCTGCTGCATCATCCTGAGGGCTCGTTTGACGGCGAGGAGGGGAAAGTCGAGCTGGAAGGCCGCCCATGCGTCGAGCGCTCTGTACACGTCCTCCTTGCTGTCTGGCACATCACGGATCTGACAATAACGCGTATGGAAGGGAGTCGAGAGTGATGATAAAGAGTATGAAAGAAAGATGGATGTGGCAAGATGAGTGAGTGCGGGTGACTGAGTGCGTGTGTGAATGGCGGGCGTGAGTGAGGGAGTGACTACGTGACTGATTGAGAGAGAGAGTGAGGGAGGGAGAGAGGGAGGGAGGGAGGGAGGGAGGGAGGGAGGGAGGGAGGGAGGGAGGGAGGGAGGAAGGGAGGGAGGAATGAACGAGTGAGAGGACGAGCGAGGGAGTGAGGGAGGGCAGATGTGTGCGTGCACACACACTCACTCACAGCAGCAATGAGGGCATTGGCGCGCCCCCCGATGTTCCGCGTGTCCTTCTTCTTCCATGAGCAGAACACGCGCTAGAAAGGGGGGAAAGGGAGGGGGAATGGGGAAGGTGGAAGGGGAAGGGGGAAGGGGAAAGGGGAAAGGGAAGGTGTGGGAAAGAGTTGACCCCCCGCCCCCCCCCCCCAGTGTTCCGCTTGTCCTTCTTGCGCCATGAGCACAACACGCGCTGCCATGGGGGGAGGGGAAGGAGGAAGGGGAGAGGGAAGGGGAGGCAGAGGAGGAGGCGGAGGAAGGGAGAGGAGGAGGAGGAGGAGAGGAGGAGGAGGAGGCGGGGGAAACGGAGGGGGAGGGGGATGCTTATGTCACTTGACGATTCTCAAAGATCAGGCCGACTTTTGGGGTTACGTGAGCAGCAGCAAGCGACTCGATCAGCAGCGCGACTCGTAGTACCAGCGGCTGTAGTGGCGGCGCGTTAGCGGACTCCCGCTGGCGGCGCTCCGCCAATCGCCCGAGTCGCGGAACCAGCGGGTTGCAGAACCGGAGGCACGAGGACAGCGATATGATTGTAGCGGGGGTGACTAATGCGCGCGATGTGACCGCAGCCACGAAAGCGCGGGGTGTGACTGTAACGGGGGAGACGAAAGCGCGCGACGTGGCTGGGAATCGAACAACCGCCCTGGATGCGGTTAGGCGGAGCATTGGCGACAAGAGGAGCGTGAGAGAATGGAGTCAGGAAGCGATGAGGCTGGGAGGGACGCGCGTGGGAGGATGGAATGAGAAAGAAATGAGGCTGGGAGGGACGCGCGTGGGAGGATGGAATGAGAAAGAAATGAGGCTGGGAGGGACGCGCGTGGGAGGATGGAATGAGAAAGAAATGAGGCTGGGAGGGACGCGCGTGGGAGGATGGAATGAGAAAGAAATGAGGCTGGGAGAGGGACTAGTAGGGATCGCGAGTTGAGAATTATCTAAGAAGGTGCCGCGACAAAGGGGGCTCGCGAAAGACGCGCTCAAGTCGTCTTAAAACGTCCATCTGCTACTACCGCAGCAGCTGACCGGAAATGACGAAAACATAAATTGGGCTGGAGGTGAGGAGTATCGATCCCCTTACCTATCGCACGCGAAGTGATCGCTCTACCATGTGAGCTACACCCCCATGTCTGAAAAAAAACAACAACTTTTATCGTTGTTTTTACTGACGCATCTCCCCAGAATCACGAAAAACGGCTGTCCAGTCCACGATGGATGTGAGGGAGGCGTTCGAGATCCAGCAGACAGCGAGTTACATCGTCACACGTGGCTTCTCGCGCGTGTGCCTTCAGTTCCCCGACTCGCTCCTCCCGCACGCCGTCTCCGTCCACGACGCGTTAAGAGCCGAATGCGCCGCGCTCATTGCCAGCCAGCATCATGGCGCCAGTAACGGGGATAGTAAGAGAGAAACGCGACCGGAGTCTCCCCCTAACTCCACCGCTGTGACTAATATCGAGGCACGTCAAAATCAAGGCTCCCTGAGAGCGAGCGATACGCCTGGGAGCAATCACACGGGGAGTAAACACCATGGGTCTGGGTTTCCGGGTTTTACGGAGGAGGGTCAAGGAGGACAGCAGGTAGAAAAGGCAGGTGATTCGGCGGGACATGCGGCGGATCATTCGCGTCGCGACGTGCCGCATTTCTATGTTTTGGCTGACGCGGCAACCGCCACGTGCAGCAGTTGCTGCGTGGACGAGGTATCGCCGTGCCACGTCAGCGCTGAATGTATCATCCACTACGGCCACGCGTGCATGTCGCGCCGCCCCGCGCGGTTCCCCGTGCGGTACGTGTTGCCACGTCAGCCCATCGACGTGACAGCATGTGCTGCGGCAATAAAAGCACACTTCAAGAGCAGCAGCAGCAGCAGCAGCAGCACCACCACCAATAGCAACACCCCCGCAAGTACCAGCGCCGATACTAACGGAAACCCCCCCCCGAGCGCGCCCCCCCGCGTGGTACTGGTGCTGTTTGCGCTCGAGTTCGCGCACGCCGCGGACGACTTTTCGCGCGCTCTTGGGGGAAGCCGCGGAGCGGAAGCGGCGACGGCAGAGAGGGAGGGGGCGGGGGAGGGGGAGGGGGAAGAAGTGCGGTATGTGGTCGCGCAGGTGCGGGAGAGGGAGGTGGAACCGGAGGAAGGGGGGAAAAGTGGCGGTGCTGGCACTGGTAGCGCTGTGAGTGGCGGGTGCTGTAACGGCGGTGCCAGAGGGGAGACTGACAGAAGCGCGTGCTGTGGGGGAGCGACAGAGAGGGACACGTGTGGAAATATCTCCTGTTCTGGTGAAGATAATTCTTCCAATGCTGTTGCTGCTGCTGCTGATGGTGGTACTGCAGCTTCGGTCGCTGCCACTATCCAATCTTCTGCCGCCCATTTCGCCGCCCAGTGTGCCGCCCAGGGTGCCGCCCAGTGTTCCACCCCTGGCACTCTTTTCGAACACGGCGGCCTGTGGTGGGTGCTGCCGCCCGGGTCGAGCATGGCTGCAGAACCTGCCAAAAGCAGCAACCCACACAACAAACAGGAAGAAGCACCATCATCAGAAGCAGCAGTGGCAAGAGTGGGGGTGAGAGCAGTGGTGTGGGTGGGCAACAGCGACGAGTGTCCATCTCTCATCACTCTCGCATTAGAGCACAACCAGACGCCCATCCTCAGACTCAACCCCTCTGAGCTACCTCCTCCTGCCGCTGCTTCTGCTGCTGAAGCGGTCGCTGCTGCTACTACTGCAGACAGCAGCAGCACCAGCGAAAGCCCTTCGCCTTCCCCAGCCCCTACTCCCCCCAGCACAGCCCCTACTCCCCCCAGCACAGCCCCGCTCTTCCACCCAGTGGACCACTCCCGCCTGCTGCGCCGCCGCTACTTCCTCGTTGAGAAGACCAAAGACGCGTCTATTCTTGGTATCGTCGTTATCTCCCAATCCGCCGGCGCTGCTGCCGCCTCCACCCGTGCCACTGTTGCTAGGCTCCGATCGGCAGCGGTGGCTGCGGGGAAGAAGGCGTATGTGATTGCGATCAGGAGGCGGATTACTCCTGAGAAGCTCGCGAATTTCCCCGAGTGTGATGTGCTGGTGCTGGTGGCGTGTGCGGAGGGGGTGCTGCTGGAGGGGATGGTGGAGGGGGGCAGTGGCAGCAGCGGTGGTAGCAGGGCGTTTTATGCGCCGGTGGTGACGCCGTTTGAGGCGCTGATGGCACTTGAGGAAGGGCGGGAGTGGACGGGAGAGTATCGGATGATGCTCGATGCTGCTGGGTTGGGAGCGGTGAGGAAGGGAGAGGAAGGTGGGGAAGGTGGGGGGGATGTGGCTCCTCGGTTCTCGTTTGTGAAAGGATCACTGGTTTCCCCCGCCCCTCACAAAGTATCATCGTCAGCACCATCAGCAGCAGCAGCAGCAGCATCGGATCAATCTTTGGCCGTCCGGCAGGACATGGCTCTTTCTGCTCTGCCTGTATCGTCCGACTCCTTGGCCCTAGCTCAGGCGTCCGGCCAATCCGGGTACGCCACGTCAGCGGCGGTGGAGGCACAATCTGGATCGGAGTTCCTGGCGCTGCGGCGTGACTATAAAGGGCTGGAGGTACCGTGGTTCATGGTGCCTGGTGGGACGCCCGGGGAAGGGGGAGGGGATGCAAGAGGGAGAGGGGATGAGGGCGGAAGGGAGGATGGGGGAGTGGTGGGTGCTTTCATGCCGAAAGTGGCTTCGGCTATTGAGGCGGTGAGGGTGGTGGAGGGGAGGGAGGGCCGTGCTGCAGGATATGTGGATGAGCCACAGAAGGGATAGGGAAGGATGGGCGAGTATTGGTGTGACTATAAGGGGCTAAATGATTCCTGGTTCATCGCGCTTGGTGGCACGGTGGGACCCCCCTGCTCGCCTTGGAAAGGCCGAGCAGGGGCGGGTGAAGGTGAATCAGGGGGCGGGGGAGTAATGAGGGGTCTTGTTTGATGTTATGACGAAGTGGGAACTTTTAATCATACCTGCAGGTTTGAGAAACGGCATTCACCTGTGAAATTGAGTACGATGAAGTGCAATTGATAACTTATGAGCGACATGACATGTATGAGATCATGGCGCTCTTTTTAACGCACACCCTTGTATCGAATTCGTTCACCCTCTCCCTCGATCTTGTCGTCTCTGCTCCGCCCCATCCTGTCCCAACCTCCCACCCCTCCGCCCCGCATCCCATACCTCGTCCCATCCCTCCGATCGTTCCAAACCTCTCGCGAACGCTCTCTAACCCACTTCACCCTTCCTTAGTCAACCATTGTCCACGCTTGGTGACTTCACCCACAACACAAGATACCAGGGCCCAGTTTGGCAGGCATCATGGCCATTATGGCCATGATGGGCATTTTTAACGGGCCCCCAAAAAATGCCACCTGGGCATTTCGAGAAACAGCTTCGAAATCGGACTGTAGCTGCAGTGCACCTTCGAAAAAATGGGGCTGAGTGTTTGGTTGGCATTAATTGGGTGTAGATTGATGGCATCAATCGAAATTTAGGGTTTCGCCGAAGTTGGTGGGCAGTTGCGCGTGATCATGTGATTGGCTGGCAGTCACTTTTGATTGCCCCGAATCACTGATACCCCGCATGGTGCGGGGCCTCGAGGCCGCATGGTGCGGGGTGTCCGAAAATGGGCTCTTTGTTAGGGAAAATGGGGTCGCTCTGGAAACGGTGGCTTGGAAATGCCATCGGATAACGGGGTGTTTGGTTGGCATTCCATTATTGTTAGGTTCGGCGTAGTCCGCTTATATCGAACCTTGATAATATTTCACACGCTTATCAGGGAAGGTTCCAGGGTGGTCGGTTTCAGAATACTAGCGTGAGAATGATGCATTGAAAGAAACAGTTGGGTACAAGTAGCTAACCCTAGTTGGGGTTGTACCCTATATTGGCTACCCCACTACAGCCTACCAACATATAACACATTACAACTTAACACACCCCCATAGGCAAAGTGGGGGAGAACAAAGGGTCACAAGACCAGTCCAGCAAAGCAAAACAAAGCCCAGGGTGGATCACAACGTCACCACACTCCGAGCACAAGCAAAGGCCACAAGGCCAGTTCACATGCAGTGCTAGATATAGAACAAGACAAGCAACAAGAAATATATAAAGTACAGTACAAAGAAAGTCAAGCAGTAAGCAAGTGAGGGAATGTGGACACAAGGCCTAAAGAAGTACAGTGCCGCTGATGATCACTAGGCGGGAGTGCCTTGGTGAAGATATCAGCAGTGTTGGCCTTCGAGTCCACGTACACAAGCCGAAGCTGACCGCGCTGCTGCAGCTCTCGAGCAAGAAAGTAGCGAAGAGCAATGTGCTTCGTCCTGTGCTCCAGTCTGTGCTCCTGACACAAGGCAAGGGCCGCCTTGTTGTCGCCGTACAGAACTGGAGGAGAACTAGGCCGCTCTCCCAAGTCAGTCAGCAGGTAGGTGAGCCAGCGTAACTCCTGTGCAGCCATGGCCGTGGCGTAGATCTCAGCCTCACAACTAGAGCTGAGAACAGAAGAAGAGCGGGTGGACCGCCACGAGACAGAACCAGAGCCAAGGCTGAAGGTGTAACCCTGCGACGACCGCTGCGTAGCCAGGTCGTCAACCCAAGAAGCGTCCGAGTGACCAGTGAGGACAACTCTGTCGCGTCCTCCAAGCACCAGCCCCATGCCTGATGTACTGCACAAGTAACGCAGCACCC